ATAATTATGCTTAGATCAGAGTACATGTGGAAATAAAAGCATAATTAAGTCTAAACAAAATGAACCAAAATTCAAGTATGGCAAAGATTTATGAGGCTTTCTTTTAAGTCTGATGTCACTGACCATTTTATAGCTCAGCCAAGTACTCTGCAATCTTTGCTCTGCTTCACTAGTCTTCTAACATCTAAATGAGGAATCAAATTCATTTTAAGGTAGCTCAGAGAGAAAATGTATTCATATTTGTTTTTAATCATTCTTCTGACAACAATGCTACTTGGGGTGGTGGGGTGGTAGCTGGAGTGGTGACAAATACATATAATTACGTCTGTATCTCCATTATACATTGAGAATGCCTTCTCAGTGGATTTTCTAGATTTCTCAGTATACAGACCACTGGGTATATGATAAATGTCCCCTAACACAGTGGTCCCCAACCACCAGGCCCTGAAGTCCGTCGATCATTTTTTACCGGGCCGCAAAGAAGTGGGCGCCGCCATCTTGTTTCGATGGCGCTTGAGAAAATGCTTCCGGGTGAGCTTGTCGGTCGTCGGTTGGAAAGCGGCATTTGGATGCTGGAGCAATCCTCGTGCCTTAGTTTCGTCGAGGGGGGGGGAGGAAGCTTCGAAGAGCCGTCCCGATGGCGCTGGAGTCTCACGTTAGGAGGAGATTAAGAAAGAGCCCGAAAAGCCCATCAACAAAGGTACAAAGGAGGAGTTGAAGGTGGCGGGGAGAAGCGGGGGATGGCTGGCTGGCCGGTCGCTCGGCTCACCTTGCCTTGGTCACGTGCGCTGATGCCGGTACCGGTCCATGGGTCATTTTGTGATGCTGTACCGGGCCGTGGGACAAAAAAGGTTGGGGGCCACTGCCCTAACAGCATAACACTAAAGGGGATCCCTGTAATTAGGCATGCTGAAAGGAGAGAGATTACCTACACAAGAAAAAATAGCAACTATGTTCTAGGGCAGAGGTCCTCAATCCCAGGACATAAACTGATACCAGTCTGTGGCCTGTTAGGAACCAGGCCATACAGATGAGGTGAGCAAGAAAACCGAAACCATCTCCCTCCCCCCCAGGTCTGTGGAAAAATTGTGTTCTACAAACTGATCCCTGGTTTCAAAAAACATTGAGGGTCTCTATTCTGGGGATTAAAAACACTCTGAAGGCAGAAACTGTTTAGAACCAGAGTTGGAAAGGGTGTTTAATCTATCAGATCAACTGCTTGCTCAATGCACAACTCCAAGGTAAAGCATCTCTGACAAATGACAATTCAATCTGGTTGTCCCAAAGATGCTTTTTTCAAAGGCAACTGGACTTTCATGGTTTTTCCTTGAAGACATTTTTCTTCTCGTCCAAGAAGCTTCATCAGAAAAAGTGTTCAGGCATAAAAAGCATCTTTGGAACAACCGTTACCTGGATGATTGACAATCTCCATAGACATTCAAACTTCTTGAATATATCCAATGAGGGAGAGCTTATACTCCTTTAAATATCAGGATCCTTTGCTCAACTAATTTTTTTGCTGGAAAAAATTCTAATGTTCATTCGGAATATGTAATTCTGTGGTTTAACTCCAATACTGGATGTTCTACAATTTTAGAACAATAGAAAACAATAGAAAAATGCTATGTAACCACTATTCAATATTTGAAAAGTGATGTTTGCTTGTAAATAAAGATAGTGAACATATCCAACTTATCTTTTTGGCCCAAGGTCACTCAGCTTTTTTTTTTATTGGATAAGGTAGGACTAGAACTCATAGTTTTCCACTTTCTAACCTGGTTTCTTAACCACTAGACCAAATTGGCTCTCTGTTGTATCTTCTAATTATCTTCCATTCGGCTTTCTCAAGAGTAAATAGCCCCAATTCCTTTGATCTGCCGTTGTAGTGCTGAATTTCTAGTACCTCATCATACTTGTTCCTTTTTTTCAGAAGCGATTTTTATTTGTCTGAATTTATCTTAAAATATGGAGCCCCAATTTTGTTACAGTGCTTGAGGTAAGCACTTGAAGGTTACTCTGATCATTGCCTCTTAGCAGACAGAAAACTTTTACATTTGAAGGGTCCAGCCTGCACAGGTTTCTTTCTGTTCTTTATAGAAATAACTCAGTTTTTTTTCTTAGATAAAAACCACATTCTCTCTGCTTTCAGGATTCACTCTCCTGATTTGTGTACCACAGTGTGCCTTTTTGTTCCAGTAAAATCTCAGATCCTATTTCTTCTACGTGACCTGAAAGCTTTTTTTTTCTACATTTCTTTCTCCCAATGGTCATTCCTATCCCACTAGGCTTAATAAATCCTTTAAAAAACCACTTCAGCATGTTTTAGTCTAACATTTAAAGTTTGATTTTTCTGAGTCGTCTTCTTCATACTTCATCTTTGTTTTCATGTCAGCTCTAATACTGATCACACATAAGTGAAATGCTAATTGATATACTAAAACAGGCCCACGTCTGGTTTAACGAAGAGGGGAAAAAGTCCCAATATGTCACGTGACACTGCCATGACGACATGAGTTTGACACCCCTGTACTAAAACATCTGACGTGTCACAAAACATTGTAAAAGAATGCTTTGTCTCTTTCACATGGCTTAGGTGCCTCAGGCAAGCACCTGACCAGTCTCATCAGAATAGTGTTAAACCACAATAAAAGGAGAGAGTAGCAAAAATTCAGTACAGAAAATGCAGTCAAGCACTGGCTTCAAGAAATCAGAAAAAGAAAGAAGCAAGAGGCCAGGAAATGGAAATAGAAACAGAATTCTTTATTGGTCAAGTGTGATTGGACACACAAAGAATTTGTCTCTAGTGCATATGCTCTCAGTATACATACAAGCAACACTTGACAAATCATGATCATAATCATAAAATACAATCATCATAAAATAACAATACTTGCTGATAGTCGGAAGCTTTGCAGGACCTCACAGCAGGGATTCCAGTTGTGTTATTTAAAACCTTGGGTGTTTTTAGACTAACATAAACAGTATGGATTTCAAAAAGCAAGGATCAATTGTTCACTGAGTTTGGGGAATTGGACCAGTGTCCTTTCCAACTCTTACTGTTTTGTAAATCAGTAAACTAAGGCAGAGTTGTTTGCTTATGAATTTACAGATAAGATTTGTATCCCATCTTTTCTAAAATCAGCCCTCTTGATAAACAGGTGAAAACAATTCAAGCCAAACATTGTCAGAAAACCCAAAATCAGGCCTATCAACAAAACAAATATTTATAATAAAAATAAACTTTTTATCTTTGATAGAGCACATACTTTGCTTGGAAAGGTTTCAATGTCATGGTGAGCCTGGGAAAATCCCATCCAAAACACTGGAAACCATTGCTAGTTGAGACAGAAACCATGCTGAGTCAAATTGGTTGGTTGTTTATATTCAGCATTCTCCTCTGGTGAACAGACAAGATGCTTCCTAAGTTATGAGCAGCAAAAGCACATCACTGGGAAGTTCCCAGTTTCCTGAACTAGTGGACAATTTAAGATATAGAGAGTATGTTGGGCAGATGCCACAAATGGTACAGAGAACTAAGTCCACCATTTGCAGTATGCAGAATAAACGGCATTACTCAAAAATCTACCAAGAACAGTTACTTGAAGCTTGGAAGGTAAGGAGGGTCAAGCATACTTAGTATTTGGATGAGTTTCTTTGAAGGGCTATAGGATAAACTGGGAAATTTTAAATAATCTGATATGGTGGAATTTTAAGGTTAAAAGGTTATTAAAATATACAATCTTATACCAAACACCAAACACCTTTAAAAAAAATGCATAACAAACATATTTCTTAAAATGGTGGAAAGCAATAGGAAACTGCTTCTGCACTGCTGGAGAAAAAACAACCTGCAGGAATCTGTTCACAAAGTTACTAGGAGTTAAACAAAACTTAAAGGCGACATCATTTTTTACACACAGCCAAATAAAACGCCAAAGTGGAGCCACCCATTATTTTATTTTTTATTGGGCCCATTTGGGACAAGAGAAATTCTGGAAAATAAAGAGGTTGGAGGCAGGCATTTTGCCTCAAAGCATGTCAGCTCTTTTTTTTTTATTTCAAAAGTTTATCTTTTAAATGTAAAAAATGCAGAACAGTCTAGACAGGCATGCAGGGAGATTAAGGCCACTGAAGCCTCTTACTGGGGCCAGATAGATATAACAATTACATCTATCAAAAAGTGTACTGTGTGTA